GTAGGGTCAGCGTTGTAAGATATCTAGCGTGCCAGAAGTGATAACAGGGAGGAAGAAATTCCGCATGGTTAGTAGAGTAAAATATCCTGCAAGATATATCCGACAACGCGGAAGCAAATTTTCGGTCGGACAGTGCTGAATCACAAGAATGAGTGTGTAAAAAAAATTCTGATTAAGCAATTCGAAAGAGCGTCCAAAACTGAGTAAGATAAATATAGTGTGGAAGTTAAGTGGAAGAATTTGGCTCATCTTTTAATGTATGTCAATAGAACGTGGAATCATAGTATATAAAAAACAACAATAAATGAAAAAAAGAATGTATTAAAAGCCTGAGAAACTCGAATAAATTAATGAAAAACAATATCAGAACGACATTTTAGAAAGTCTGAGAGAACTATTCAGTCGTGTTCATCATATGTAGAAATAGGAGTAACAATAGCTGTTTCTATGCGAAAGTGATGATATTCTTGTGTGTATCAAATGTGTAATATTCAGCAGACATAACATGAAACTTTTCCAGTTAATAATTATATGTGCGAATCCTACAAAATGATATTCATTTCACGTTATCTGGTTGACTAGGAACATACATATAGATTTTATTTTGTTATATAAAACGAAGAAAAACAATATGGCAGACGCTAGTAAAGAACGATCTGTGACAGCTTGATTCCTGAGACTTTCTATAACGATCTGTCTTCTTTTTTTATTAAAGCTCCTGCAACAAGGTTCGTTTTGCTTGCTAGTGTGATATGACTTAAGTTTGATCCGTTGGGCTTTGTCAGTGTTTCTAACAGAATTTATCCGCTGTTTTCCAACCGAAGCGTATGCGTACGCTTTGTTTTTTCAAAGCGTACACGTTTCAGACCTAAAAAAGAAAGCATCAATTAGGCATCAGGAATTAGAGAAGAAAAATAGAAACTTAGAAGAAAATAAAAACAAGTTAAAAAATTTTTTATTTTCTCTTAAATATAAAAAAAGTTCTATTAGAAAACAAAGCATACACTGTACGCTCTGCTTTTCTCAGCAAAGCGTAAAACAGAGCGTATTTTTAAATTCCCAAGCGTATGTGCTCTTTGATATTGTAAGTACGCTTTGCTATACTGGGCTTTGTATCACATTAAACTTCCCAGTTTTGTTCTACTTTTTCTGTTAAATCAGTACAAAGTTGAAAAAGCACATTATTCCACTCATCCCCATCCTTACTGTATTTCTCCTTTGATTCAAAAAAGTCCATAATAGCGCATAGATCGAATAGTACTGTTATAAGAATTGTGCGCCTTGGGTGATACATCGTTTCGTTTTCTGTCGATGTTTTGTGAGTAGTATTCGCATAAACTTGAAAGCAGATATAATTTTTTTTGCATAAAGAAATTTTCTTGTTTTGCTTTTTTTACATATTAATTATACAGTATAAAAAAATAAACAACTTTGTAGTACCATTGCTATTTTATTCATATCATGCGGATAACTGGTTGGCCGATAGTATCGATGATGCGATTGAACCTGGTCGTAAATTAAGCGCATCGTAACTATGAAAAATAGAAAACTAAGGGTTTTGTCGAACTTTTTAACTAAAAGTTAAGTTTTCTGTTAAACCGAAATCTGTTGCTATCAAGATCATTCTAAATGAATCTTTCGTAATTTTATTACTTTTATCGTAGTAGAAAATATATGTCTTTGAAGTATACTGTTAAAAATCATTGTTCTTCTGTTGTTTAGAGAATATGCTGTAAAACTTAAATGTGTTCTCTAGAAAATGAGAGTAAGATTATTATTATTTGTAACAGCCAACATAAACAAAACTAAGAAAATAGTCAATAACCGAAAAACTACTTAATTCACAAGCAGTTCCGATATCGTAATACTTGCAGAGACGAATCCGCTGATAGGAAACACTGGAATCACATCCCCCAAACAAAAGATTCCAAAATAGTAGCAGCATCAATTTGAAGTTCATCCGATTTACTAACTGGTGGGTCATAAATAACGCGACAAAATCGTTTTTCGTTTTTGAAGCTCGTAGAACCGGTTCTAAAACTCTGTTCTTATTCGATAGAGAATTTGTTACTCCCCAAAACGAATCATTATTTCCTTCCATTAAACCTGATAAACGTTTAGAAATAGAAGCTACGGTTAATACAGAACTGAAAATTTTCATTGAAAGATCTAGGTGCAAAATGATTCGTCACACTATTAAACCTTCGAAACAAAACAGCAAGGACAACAACAACAAAATAATAATATTGTTTCTACTTACGATCGTTTTCCTAAAAAAACTTCAGCTGCCTTTGATCAGGAGTTATTAGCATCTAAGGAATCATCAAAAAAATCAAAACGATCAATAATCCTGACTAATAATAATGCAACATACCGCTGCAAAGACAACAATACCAAATTCACGACGTCTAAGCAGCATATTTTCCTATATTTGTCCTCATTCTACTTTTCTTTTATAGACAGTTCTTTACTTGCTGTAATAATGTTCGTGCCACTTTTTAATGCAGAATTGCCCAAACGTTCAACATGCAGCTGTTTTCGAACGTATCTATCTTTATATGCTCTAAATGCATTAAGTGGCACAGCAATCTCGTTTGGCACTTCTTCATCAGTCGAAGAGTAGGCAGAACTATCATTATTATTATTATTATTATCATCATCCAGTTCATGGTCCGAGTCTGAATCAGAATTACTGCCCCAAACTAGTCCAGTTCTGATTCTAACCAAATCTTCTGGTGTAGTTCTATAACTAAACATAGTATTCTTACTATATCGATTGCTACATATCACCTTTGATTCGACTTTAACGTTGGGGTTTCGATGATAGATTTCCAGTTTAAGACATAAAATAAGCTTCCTGATAAACATTTCTTCAGTATCGGCATGTTTATTTCCGACATGTTCTTGGAATATCCTTAAAGCTTTTTGACAATTCGGTAGTGCGTCCTTGTAACGTCTCATAAACGAATATGTTTTCCCAATATAGTTGTAGAGATTTGCTAAATTAATATCATTGGAGGGCAAAGTCATAATATAAATCTCAAGTACTCTGTTAAATATTTCTACCGCTTTAGTATAATTTTTTTGCTTGAAATGAACAACAGCTATACTGTAATAAATACTTGCTACACTTGTTATAGGAGGCGTTACACGATTTAGTGTAATTGCCAAAGCTTTTTCAAAAGATTCCAGTGCTCGTGAGTAATTATTTTGATCACAATGAAGTATTCCAATGTTTGAAAACATGATTGCTGAAGCGAGGTTATCAGCTGGCAAATATCTTAGAAAGAGTTGAAGTATTTGTTCACATTCTTTCAGCGCCAGTTCACATGGATTTCTCGTTTGGAGTTTATCGAAACGGTTACATAAAATAGACACTTCTGGATAATATTCTTGTGCACATTCTGGGCGAATCGTCAATGTTTTGATAATGAGTTTGAATGCTTCAGCATGACAGTTTTTTCTATCATAAATCCTTGCTATAGTATATGACAATATAACAAACTCAGGATCACTTACGAGGACATGTTTTGAGAGTATATCCAATGCTTTTGTATAACAGGTCAAAGCTCGATCATAGTCGCTAATTTCTTCATATCCTATACCTAGCTTCAAATATTGTGATGTGACATCCGCGCCGATTGTATTAGTGACTATAGAGTTGTCTATGTCTGTCATCGTAATTTTGTCTGTTGAGCTATGACATTCGTTTAGCTTTGGTGCCTTCCAGTGTAAATAAATATCAGCGGCTTTTTCAATATGATATTCTGCTTGTGAATGGTCAGTTTTAATCCAAGTTAAGCATTGTTGAGCAATTCTTAAGTGTAAGTTTCGAACGATAGGATGATTCGATGAATAAATATTTAAGGCTGATTCAAGTGATCTTTTATATGTCAGCATTGCTAATTCATTTTCATTTAATTTAGCGTATATATCGGCAGCTTTCCTATAGAAATTCGCTAACATATGAGAATCGTTTGTTGTTGATGCCTCGATTTCAAGTAAATTAAGCGCTAAGTTTACGTTTTCCAAGGCAGATGCGTAATCATGAACTTTTACATTAACGTTTGCCATTCCCATATAAGCATATATCAAAACTTGTTTTTGTACCAATTTAGAACAAATCTCGATAGTTGTTTTAAATTCAAACAATGCGTTTTCATATTCTTCTAGATGATAAAAGTTTTTCCCAAGATGTACATGGGCTATAGCATGTTCAATTTGGTCTGTAGAATATGTCTCATTTACTTTTTCCAAAACTTGTAAATAATAATAGGAAGCACTATGATAATCACCACTTAATTGATAAACATACCCAATTTGGTCGTACAACTTAATTATGGCTAATACGTCTCCCGCAGATAATAACTGTATTTTAAGCGCATGTGCATAATTTACTAATGCATTAACATAGTCATCTTGACATAAACAAGCTGTTGCCATACCAATCAAAGCTTTTTGTGTTTCTGGGTGGTAAAACACAATTATACTACGTCTTCCTGTTTGATCATTTGTTATAGTTTGAGTCATATGCATTTTAAAACATATTTTTGCTTTTTCATAGTCACCCATATTCATCATTATATCTCCTAAGGTACACATATTAGCTAGATGAGGATTTTTTATATCGAGTATTTTCCAATAGTCCACTAGTTCTTTACATTGAATGTTCTTTTCATCACACGATTTCAAAGAAATATACCATAAATCATTTGTATATAATTCAACAGATTTAATTTGAAAAATTGAACCTACACAGAGTAACACTTCATTTTCTTCTTTCATTTCACTTTCTTGATGAATGTCTGCGAATGGTGCTTTATCCATATGTCTTACATCAATATCAAATTCAAACAGAACGCTTGCTGCAAATGGATGATCAGTAGCAAAACTTAAGGCTAATTCACTTGATGTCGTAGTTGAAAGAAATGTTGTCATTGATATGAAACCGCCAACGCTATTTTCTAATTTTTTCAGTTCAGTTTTAAACATATGTTGTCCACGGTATAACACGATGTTATTCATCGGGAGTGTTTGTATATAGTTTTTATGCATCTGATATAGTTTTTCATAGAGATCAGAAATAAAGAATCGGAATTTTAATATCATTGTTATGTCCTGTGTACGAAATGCTTTATTCAAAAGTCTGTACATAAAACAATCACGTGTATACCAATATATAACTTTTGAAGGAAGGTACTGTTGTGTAAATTCATCAATTTTTTTCAATTCAGTAAAATTATTTTTATAATGGTAACGACATTTTTGTATCAGCTCTTTTTTGGATTCACTTTTTGAAAATTGATCATCAGTGTTTGAAACATGAATTAGTATGTCGATTAATAATTGAAACCACAAAAAGTTTATTCTTTCTTCACTCAAATCTTGAATTGAATGACCTGTTTCATCAACACTAAATACACTCATCGGTGTTAAAAGTTTTGAAGTGCATGTAACATCATTTTTCAACTGATCTATAAGCAAGTTCTGATCGTTATAAACACCAACGATTTTTGAATATTTTCTTGCCCATATTTTATGTTCAGATATTGCAAAACAAAAAATATAGATGAATAAAATTTGTTGCATATTTTCAAGTAATGGAACGGCTTGTTCACCTAATGATCCGGATGTAATAAGAAATATTTTTTCAATTTTAACAGTTGAAATATATTCCATAAAATCATCAATATTACGAAATGTTTTTATATAATGAATAATAGAAGATAATCTAGATCTTGTATCAAATAATTTATCTTTTTGTTCAATGTTAGCGTCTAACCAGATAACAATAAAATCTTCCATGATTTCGTTATGAGGTTCTCTGTCGGTAACACTGGATGTTAAATTTATTACATAATCTAAAGTTGTTTCGATGTCGGTATTATAAACGATTTTTGATAATTCCGATGGTGGCAGAGGAGATGACAATGCTCGTAATGATGCATTTACATCTTGCAAAGATGTAAATGTATCATTACGACGATGAATTGTTTCGGTTTGGAAGTTCGAATCAAAATGATGCAAATATATCATTACGACGACGAATCGTTTTGGCTTGAAAGCTAGAGTTTAACTAAAGGGGGAAATCAAAACACAAAAATGAATATAGATGCAAATAAATAATGTGAATCACCTCGATTCACTCTATCCATTGACTGTAAGTCGATTTTATTCTAGC